TTCAGGAAGAGACAGGGGCCAGCTGACATCCCCCTGCCCTAAGGAAGCGCGGCGAGTAGCTGTCAGAGCAGGCAGGTCCATCGTACAGCTCTCGCCAGGACTTACTGCGATTAACCACGGCCAGCAGCTGACAAGGAGGACAGCAGGGATGAAATCTCCAGACACCCAGGAGCCATAGGAACTTGCAGCCTGCAAGCCTCTAGCATTTTTTCCACTTTTTTTTTCTTTTTTTTTTTTTTTCCCCAGTTCTGAAAGCATGTGACCGGCCTTCACATACCAGAGCTGACCCCTCCCAAAGCCAGCGATTTCCTAAGAGCCGAGAAGGATGTTACCCTCCCGCTTATTCATTACAAGACCAGGTTTCCTCGCCCTCAAGCATCGAAACCTCACTCCGCCCAGGGTCAGCTCCGCGCTGGGTCCCTCCGGACGGGTGCAGAAGGGGCTGCGGTGCTCAGCTACCTGCTGTCAGGAGGGCATGGCCACGGGGAGCCCAGGCTCTCCCAAATGGCACACGGCTTCCCATTTTCCAGGTGTAAAAGCACCAGCTCTTGGCTCTCAGGTCCGCCGTCCCCCTGTGCACTGGGCCGGGGGAAGAGCCGCACGTGTTTCACACTGTTCCCCCGTGGAAGCGGGCTCCCTCCCCTCAGGCTTTTCGTGTCACCGAAATACACCGCTGAGGCTTTAGTTTCGGTTTTTGCTTCCCTCGGGCTGGCAGCGCCGTTTCTGGAAAAGATGGGGGGCTCGTCCTCCTCGCTGTCCCGCACTGCCACACTGCCCTGCTCCCGCTCCCGACACCCCCGCCCTGCATCCCAAAAATTCCACACACCACCACCTCCACACACACTTCGCTTTGCACTTGCCAGTATCCACATGCTGAGACCCCAAGAGCTGCCCCCACCCCTAGGGGAGGGGCTCCTCCCGCCGCTCTCCTGCCGGCACCGCCCCCCGGAGCCGGGGCTGAGAGCGCGGGGAGCCCTCAGAGGAGCCCTCGGAGGAGCCCTCGGGGGGAGCCGGGACTGAGAACGGGGGGAGCCCTCGGGGGAAGCCCTTGGGGGGAGCCGGCGCCGAGAACGGGGGGAGCCCTCGGGGGGAGCCGGGGCTGAGAACGGGGGGAGCCCTCGGAGGGAGCCGGGGCTGAGAGCGGAGTGAGCCCTCGGGGGGAGCCCTCGGGGTGGGCATCGCGCACGGAGAGCGGGGCCAGGCACGGCGGGGCGGAGGGTTTGGCTCCCGCGCCTCCTCCTCCTCTTTCTCCTCCTCCGGGAGGGCTGGAGCACTGCGGTGGGTGCCCCCCCGCTGCTCCGCAGCGCCAGGCAGGCGCTCGGCGTGAGGAACCGCAGCCCCAGGCACGGCCGCAGGCTCACGGCACCGCCGGAGAGGAGAATCTCAGGACGAGGCAGAGATGCCGCAGAGCCTGCCCTACACCTATCACACACGTGGAATTAAACGAGTCCCGGATTGCTTCAGGCAACGCAACCGCGCCTGCAGACTCCCTGAGCAGGCGCGGCTCTCAGGAGGCTGTTTCTGGTTCACCTGAGCATCATCACCATGGCACACCCCTCAGCGAAAAAACCCCGCGCCACCGCCAGCATGCACGTAGTGCTTCTCACTCACGAACTGCAACACCGCGATTCCCCGCTGGTTCCAACAAAATAGCACACGCGACCTGTCGGTCAGCCGCACAACACGACATCCACATCTGGCGCGATACAGCATGATGTTCAGAATGCCGGGCAGAGAGGCGGCGTGTTGGCTATAAGGTTCTTGTTGGGAGGGTTACTCTGTATGGCCATATCCATACTGCTGCAGCGGCTTTCTCTATTGGCACCTACCTTAAGTGAGCCTTGTCAACTCGAGGCTTGTCCCTAACAGAGCCTGCAGACCATACCAGCACAGCTTCCTAACAAACCTGCTGCTGGGGACACTTCTTTCTTCTTTGGTTTTTTTGTTTGTTTTGTTTTTTTGGTTTCTTTTTCTTAAGGGGGAAGAAGAAACGAGGATTTTAAAAACCCTCTGTTGGTTTATCACTATGGCTGCAAATTTAAACTAAAATTAATTCCTAGTGCAACCGACGTTAGCCAGGCACCTAATTTGACTCACCTAAGTAGAGCTTTGTCTTTGTGATAACTTTTGTCTTGATGAGCCAATGAGGGTCTTAAACTTGACACTATCTTCTAGATGTTAAATGCTGCAACAAGGGGGTAACAGAATCGGGTCTATACGTGCTACTTGTCCTCCACTGCCCAGTTTTATGTCTTTGGTTTTGGTATAAGTAAGGAGCTGCAAGTGCCAGGACTGACCTCAGTTTCTGACTTCATAGAGATTATTGCAAATTAGCAATCACTTGTTGCCTATTGTCACCATTCAGGCACAAGATTTAAGCACCTTTTTTACTGTAGGATTGATGGAAAAATATGTTAAACTTCTAAGTCCTTCTGCCCGTTGTTTTAAGAGCAAACTTTCCCTTAATTCATAAAGTTAACCAAACTACTTCTGCTCAAAGGACTTCTTTCATGCTAGCAGAAAAGTAATAAAACAGATAAAAGATCTCCCACTGCTGACTCCCAGGAAAGCTCAAACTAGATTAGTTTCATCTAAGGGAATAGTCTAAGGACTCCTGAATAACATCCTGTCCCTGGAGGATGGAGACCAGAGGCATCTTTGTTACTCACAAGGTCCCTCATCCCTTTGCAGATGAGTGGCACCCTCACCACTCTGCAGATTATTGCTTTTGACACAACCTCCCACTTTGTCTGTGGCTGCCTCACACTCTCCCCACCCTCTCTGACAGCACACGAGGAAAGTTTGCTCACAGTGAGTTTGTACACTGTACGGTATTTTCAGCCTACTTTTTGCTTCTCACATGACTCTCTTTCTTTTAATAGGTTTTCTTATCTCTCCCTTTACTTAAACGGAAATTATTAACATTTTTGCAACACCGCTTCCTCTCTCAATAAGTAACTAGTGCACAAATCAAAGCCACAGCTAACAGCCTCTAGTCCCTTTAATGTGGTGGGAGCAAAACCTCATCCCAGCTGAAGTAGTGCTCAAAAACTGCTGACCTCAAGATAGGAAAAGCTATGCCCAGAGCCACACCTTTAACATCCAAATCACAGACGGCATTTGGACAACTCGTCTGTGTGCATAGAGTGTTACTACTCCTAAAATTGCTGCTGATAAATTCAGGTAGGAATTGGAGCTGAACAAGGTTCATCTGTAACCAGTAACTAACTCCTCCAGGGACTGGTCCCAGAGTCGTGACAATACCAGGCAGACTTTTATCAACACAAGTATCACCAATAAACCTTCATATAGTAAATTTGCACTTTTCTAATGAATGGCAGGTTTGGATGGTTCACTTCTCTCCTGCAGCTCACTCTGTCACACTTGAAATTATTCTCTGTAGGAAATTTGCAGCATTGAAGGAGGCAAAACTACTCTGCAACAGTACACTGAAGTAAACAGAGACTGGGGAAAAAATCAGCAGGCACACAAAAAGCTCACCCACTGCTTTTACCTTTCCAGATGAGGGACTTCTGTGACATCTCCTCTGAAGAGTGTTTTGCTTGTATCCCTTAAGCCATTGGCGATGCCTTCACCGCAACCCTTCACCTCCCTGTCAGGGACATCTGGCTGCCCCAAGGCTGATGTCCGATCTAAAAACTGCCCGCCTTCCTTCATGCGCTGCTGGATCATGGGAGTGAGTGGCATCTCAAAGCTGAAGTAGCTGTCAGGCTCCGAGTACAAGGTCTCCAGCGACTCTGCACTGTAGTACAGAGACGCATTGTCTAGGATGTTTTCGAACTGTGAGCTGTACAGATCAGTGGAGACGTCGGATTGCCTCTGCCCAAGGAAATCTTCATATCCTCCTGCGGCTGCTTCGCCCTCCTCCATCATCCTGAAAATTAACCAGAAACAGCTCGTTTCAGCTCGGGGGCAAGGTTTAGACTTCTGGTTGAACCTTCTCGCCTTCCACCTTTGTGAACAGAAAGGTCAGCGCGGCTCTGTGCAGGAGAGGGCACTGCAGGTAAAATGCTAGTTTCTCCTTGCACCACCTCTGTTTATGATTGGCACCATCTCCCTCTCTGGGGACATGAAAAGAAACAATCTTCTGGGTAAAAGAGGGGGCTGGGGAACAACCTAACAGATAAAATCAGCTGCTTGTCTGCAGAGGAGAAAATGCACTCACATACACATAAGGCATGTCCTAACACCAGTGCCATGCCAGAGGCTGCACGTGTTGGAGATGTGTACTCAGACAGAGCCTCTGCCCCTGAAGGATAGTTTGCTAGCTCTGCAGTCCTAGGACTGGAGTCTTTGGCAAAAAGCTGAAGGAAATCACTCCAAAATGCAAAGGGGAAGCAAGTGCAGTTAAACACATGGATCCAGGAGAACCAGATTTGGAGGGAGAAGACTCATCATGCTTTCTGATGTACAGGGGAAGGTGCAGCACCCCCCGACAGAGAGCTTTCTTCTCTGCTGCACCAAATACAGTGGGGCTCCTCACGGCACGTGCCAGAGGTTAGGGCTGCCAAACTGAGTAATCCTAGGCACTAGCCAAAGCAAAACTCCCCATATCCCAAGGTGCAAAGTCACAAGAGCCTCAAATCAGGATGCTCTCATAAAAAGCAGAGCACACTTTTTGCACTATGTATAGCTAGAAGTCTATAAACATAGATTAGAGAGACAGACAGACAGATAGATAGATAGACAGACAGATAGAGAAAGCACATCACAGCATTTACCGTCTCAATAATCTACAAGGCCTTGGATAAAATGTCTTTATTACCTGACCTCTCAGAGGTGCTCACAGTGTTCTTTCACAAACTCCACCTGAAATCAGAAAACCTGGCCAGGCGCATATGGGCAGGCCTGCATGCTGCCTTATTTAATTACATGCCATGTCTGGATCCCAATTACACCTGCTACAGATGCCTCCTCACACAGACATCACTGTGCAAATAGCAAGACGTGTTTATGTTTCAGAACGTGAGATGGACTTCAAGCTTCAGCGAGGTGTTGTGTAGGGGGTTCAGCCCGAATTTCATGCACTAGCCACCACCAGAGAGGAGTCACTACCACAGACACCACACTGAAGGCAGCAAATAAACGTTTGTTGTTTCTCATTATCTCCTAAGGAGGTAGGCAAAGGCCATGTGCTTAGGCCAAGAGGAATGCCAGCTGACCCCTGCACCCCTCCAAGCATGGTCTCACCTGCCCTGTCCTCTCACTAGCACAGACGCCTCCTCCTCGCCACGGTTCTTCCTGTCCTTCATGGGAACTTCATCCTTCTCGCTTTCACTGGGTGGTGCTCGAGGGGCAGCTCCAGGTGCAGTGGGTCCCAGCCTTGCGTCCTCACAGACCTCACTCCACGCGCTGTCTGGCGAGGAAAGAAGGCCTGGAGAGACCATTGGCGATGCAGGGTGGCTGGATGTTTTGGGGAATGCCTTCCTCTCCACAGACGAGTCCACCAGCGAGTGCTTCTTTCTTCTCTGCTCCTCAGCTTTCTGCAGCCATAAAATCTCCACCCCTTGAAACTCTACATGTTTACTCCCAGCTGCCTCTTTAGCGAGCCTCCTCTCAGGACCTACTTGCGTTTTACCCTGACCGTACCCTGAAAACTCCTCGGAACATGCCCACCCCTCCACTCTCCTGGCTGCTTCCCCGTTTGTCACAGACGGTCTGTGGCAGCTTTGTCCCTGCACCACGTGGACCTCCTCAGCTTTGTTACTAATCCCTTGCAAGGACTCGGACTGCTTTTCTCCAGTCCATATTGCAGCCAGACCTTCCTCTACGACCAAATGCTTTTTTTCCTCAGCTGTTCGTTCAGAAGGAAGAGGCATGTCTGAGAGTTTTTCTTGGCCTCCTGGAACTGGTTCTCTGGCTGCCTGCACACTTTGGCTGCCAGTAGCACTCTCTTTTTCCATTTGCGTCTCTGAATCGGGAGAAGTATTTGCTCTCTCCTGCACCTTTGTTGCTTCCAACCGTCGAGACACCTTCATAATCTCTGGCTGGTTACCCGCAGGTTGCAAACCTTCTTCTGGGGTGTGCAGCTGCGCTGCCCCAGCATCAGGCCTCGAATTGTCTGCAGGAGCTGCACACTGAGGAATGGGCCTGGTGTGGTGGTGGCTGTCCCGTCTCTCCGGACGGCGTGTCACGGGCTCTGCGTGCCGTGTCGGTGAAGCTGCTGGCTCGTGTCTGCTTGGCTCCACAGTGCCGTACTCTGGAAACTCATTGATGATGGTGTGAGGAAGCAAAGCGCTGCTTCCACGGCCACTACCTGCAAATTAAAAAAAAAAAAAGAAAGAAAAAGAAAAAAAAAAAAAGACGCTGGATTTATCTTCCACATGCACAAAGTAAAAAACCTGACCTCCCTTCCCAGCCCTCTCCTAAAGGAGTAACTATGCTCTGCCCAGCAGGGAAAATACCGTTCAGTTTAATTCAGTTTTGAACACTCTCACAACTGCAGTTATCCAGAGCTGGTCCTTTCACTTAGGAGTTTTTGGGCAGCCCTACTTTGGGAGTGTGCACTACAGGGGAAGGAATGCTAGAAATGTCTGCTACACTTCAGAAAGGATCCCTGTGGCCCAGGAACAGTCTGAGGCCACAGGCCAGGCGCAGAGGCTGAAGAAAGCAGATATTCAGAGGTCTGGCATCCATCCAAAGAATGCACCACACATGATGGTTTTACTTTAAAATAAGAAGTTTTTAGGTCATTTTCACTTTTAAAGGTGAAACACTGGGAAGATAATCAGCCACACCCCGTATTTTCCACAGCCTTGACAAAACCAATTAGCTAAATTATAAAGCAATTAATGAGCAGTTCAGCCTTCTGCCAGCACTTCCTTTAACAACTCAGGTAGCTGAAGGTCATTTTGCAGTGGTGGATGCATAGTGAGCGGTTCACATTTGCTGTTGCAGCAAATGCCGCTGCACAGAAAGCTTACCACCCCTCCCTTCCTCCTGCTGCTTTTCCAACTGATGTAAACAAAGCAGGAGCAAAAATGGACAGTCCCATTTCAAAGTGCCAAGCACCCACTGGCTCCCATTGTTGTGGGGTAACAGAGAACCATCTGTCCTCAGAAGGATCTCAGGGATCACACAATGACAGATACTTGGCCACCTTGTATCATGGCTCGAGGAGAAACTGAGCTTTGGGGCGGAAAAAAACTAAACAAACAAAACAACAATTAAAAAGCAAAACAACAACAACAACACACACAAACCAAAAAAAAAAAAAAAAACCCTGCTGCATTTGTTGCATCCATCTGGGATAAAAAACTGGCCTGGACTATAAAAGGGTTTTAAATCAAACAGCACAGGGGCCATACCCAAACACCTACTCTGAAAAATGTCAGGGTGACAGCTCTGAAAGCAGACACCAACACGCATTTGGATGCTTTGCTTCCACTCTACGTTGCATCTCTAGGTACTGAATTGCAAACTGACCACCATCTCCACTCCAGGCAGGCTGGCCACAGGCTGAGGTGAAAGCCATGTAGCTGTGGTTAATGACAGGCTGAGTTCAAGGTGAAAGAGAGGATAATTTAATGCAAGCTCAGCACTGCATTAAGGTGGCTACCTATGTGCCAGTGGTTTGTAAAGACAAGCAGAAGCTCACACCTGCCAGCTCACTATCCAGTATACCTAGCCACAGGGTAATTACCACACATTGTGCGTGCTGCAGGATCAAAGTGACAGACTTCGACTGTGCCAAGCACATCTCTTCCCTAGTAGGTTCTCCAGATCTCATCTCCGTGTCTTTGATTTAATTACTATATACTAAAAATTCAGTGGGTCAGGTTTCGCCCAGATCACTTGGTGGCTGTTGAGGACAAGTGACCAGACAAAGCAGGGACCTTTTCCCTCCTGCTAGGTCCCAGGGAGCGTTAAGGAGCAAGAGGATGCCCACAGCTGCATCACCAGACTGCCTTGATGGCAGGGTTTCCAACACACAGATGTGGGTGCACCCATGGAACTTCTTCCAGCTGCCCAAAGCACCAGGCAAACAGCCCCCACGCAGTGCTTTGTGCATCCCAAGCCCACTCTTTTCATGGCACAGGCACTAGGTTGCCACTGGGGGACACTTCCACCAGGACTCACATATGAGATTACTGCTTCATGGTTGAAACATTCCTACACCTGCACCAGGCCAACCCCAAGCCAGCAAAAGGCCCCGCTTCGCCACCTCACAACCCTGGACTGCTCTAATGTGGAGACCTTAGTGCTTGATGCTCTCTCAGCACTAGAGATGTGTCTTATGTCTAGAGATGGGATTTTTTAGGAGAGAACTGCTGATAGGGAGCCTGTCACTAGAGATGCTAATGTAAAGCCTTCTTCATGGACACATCCACCCACAGCGACTCTCAGTGTGCAACCCTACAGGGGTACCCCAGTTGGGCTCCCCTCCTGCCCACAGCACTGAGGGACAGTGCTGGACCATGCCACTCCTTGGCTGCGCTGCCCAAAGAAAGGTAATGCACAGAGCCCCAGGAGCTGGGATGCCCCGTGCCTCGCTCCAACCCACACACCCTGCCTTGCTGGAAGGAAGCCCAGAGCGCCGGTCCCCAGCCTCCTGTGGGGCTGGGAGGCGGCCAATGTGCTCCAGAGGCCAAGCCCTAACAAGGCACCACACACATACCCTGCCAAGGGGCCAGGCTCTTCTCTGCTAATTGCTGCCTTAGCTTCTGAACCGACACGAGGGAAACAGAAGCGGCCTTATTCCTGGAGGTGAATGCTGAGTGTCCTGCTGCGCGTCCCCATCTGCCACCGGCGGCCACTGCTGACAGCAGCAAGCAATCTCGAGCAAGTTTCTGATTTACTTCTCCCCCTGAACTTCATCCCAAGCAAACTTTACCCTCTGGCAGCCTCCAGAAGAGGTACACGTCCAGAGCACACACATACACACACATGTGGGCATGGAGAGACGGGCAGGAGGAGGGAGAGCGCTCATGGGTACTCCTGTCTGCCACTTGTGCAAACTCTGTTCCGTTTGGGCAAGAGAGCAGAACTTTCACAGTAGAAATTCAAGCTGTTTTCTACAGTGAGATGTCAGCAGCCCTGCTCTGGAAGGACTTATGCTGCTACTGCTGCTCTGTGTGAGCACAAGTCAGTGGGATTCTTACCTTCATGGCATACTGCAGAATATTGCCTAATTTTCTGTCTGATTAAAAAAAAAAAAACTCATATAAGGCACCAAAGCAGCATTCTGTCCCCATCATGTTAGGTACCACCATGCAGATGACTACCAAGGCCTCCAATCTTTGAGGTAAATCACGACCAACTGCCCCCTACTCCTAAAACCGCAAAGCCTTTCCCTTTGCTCAGAGAGCTATTTCAGGTACCAGAGCTTGGAGGAGCTTGAGCTCTTTAAGGGAAACTCCTCCCTTATTCCCATCCACCACCACAGCATCATGTCTTGCAGCAGCTACTGGCATATCCTGTCCAACCCATCCCCCAATATGACTGCATTACAAACAAGGCTAGAAAGACAACAACAAAATTTAAGGACTGCACTGAAGATGCGCAGGGAAAAAAAATACCCATCACCAAACAAACAAAGAAAGGACACACACTTTCAGGTAACACCAATTTCTACTTTGCATTGAAGGTGGCTTCTTTCAATAAAGGAAAAAAGAAAAAGGAAAAAAAGAAAAATGGATAGAGAAAAAGCTAAAATAGAGAGGGGGAGAGTGACTAGCAAACTGAGATGGGGCAAATATAACGTAACAGCATTTGGCAGCCTTTCTGAAGACTAGACGTTGAAAGCATTAATGACTTAAATAAGGCATAGATATGATATTTCATAGGTAAATAATCATTCCATGTCAAGCAAGCTTGTCTACAGCATAATAAAAGGAAATTCTAGGAAGCAAAACACAAGTTAAAAGCATAGACAGACATTTTGGTTACAGGTACATTTTACAAAAGAATGGTGTGAGTGTCTCTCTCTATACAATATATATATATATATTAGCTAGCTCGAGAAATTAGATATATTTGCTTGAACAGTGTCCTTACTCACAGAGGTTACTGTAGCTCCAGCAGTTACCCATTGGTCAAAGAAATAAAATGCACAGATCATCAGTTTATCTATAGCGATATCAGCTAATTCAATTGCTGCTGTTCTAGTCAACTGGAATCAAAATAGTTTCAAATTTCCTGGCAGCTGGTGCCCTGCACTGCACACAATGATGTAAATGGATGCTTTCTGAGTATTATGAAACTGATGGGGGAACTGCAGTCTCATTCAGTCTATCGCAGGAGCTAAGGAGTCCACCTTGGCAGCTTGCAGGGGGAAAAAAAAAACCATTTCCTCCGGCAAGGCTGCCTGACGGCATGCCAGGGGAGAGACGTCCGTGCTTAGCCGCCGTTTATTGTAACTGCGTTCCGTAAGGGAAGAACCGGGTGGAATGGCGATGCCGGGAGTCATGTGCTGATTTCAAGAGCGCAGGGATGCTTTATGGCATTTCGGCGTTAAGTGAGCTGGAAGCGTTCACTGAGCAGCCCCAGTCACCGTGCGTTTTGTTTCTCCGCAGCTCCTTGCGCCGAGCGCAGGCAGCACACGGGTGAAGGAAGCTCTGCATGCTCGGCTGTGCTTTCTTGGTACCTCTTGCCGCTGTTTGTAAAAGGGCAGATTAGGGCAAGTATAAAAACAGTGAGTGCGTTAAGATGAGACGAATCTCTGGGTGACAAGAGCTTAATGAGCAAATCGCTGGATTTATGGTATTTATACCATCACTGCAGCCTGCCAGGGAGGAGGGTTACACGTTATCTCCCACGGATGTCCTGCACTCCCTCAAGTTACGACTTCTTAGGGTCAACTTAGAACTATTCCAAGTGATAGCCCGCTCATGCTGCGATGGAGCGGCCGTCCCCCGTGAGAGGGGAGGGATGCTGCACGGCCTCTGGCAGCCTCCCGCAGCAGCCCTTTTTCCAAATGATGTCATCCCCCATGCCGTGATAGGTCCTGCCTGGCTGGTGCATGCAAAGCCAGGGGATTAACACAGTGCAAACACGGTGCTTTTGTAACCGGACTGCAAAACGTCCACACCGGACTGGGCGCAGCTTTTTCTGCGGCCGCTCCAGGTTTTTGGGCAGCTGTCTTGCCCCAGAAAGCGGAAGCAGAGCCAGTTCTCCGTCCCTTCTGAAGTTGCAGCGACACTACGTAAAAACAAATTGGTGGAAATGGGGAAGCTGAGTGAGAGTGAGAGGGAAGCAGGGGGAAGACAGAGGGGAGAGCTGTCTAGAAATAAGCCCTGGTTCAATGCCTCTCTGTGCCTTAGCAGATATGCAGCAAAGGCAGGGGGGACCAGAGGTGCAACAGAGCCCACACGGAAGAAGTGCCCAGGTCGGCTGAGATTCTTCACCTCAAAAAGAGACAACCAGAGGGAGTCCTTGCTGTGGTTAGTGGGAGGTTTGACACAGAGCCCAGCAGCGAGCACAGGCAGCGTGCTCCTCGCACTTGTCCTGCCTGAACAGCCAGGCAGTGGTGTGGCAGCTCAAGGGTTACCCAGAAATTAAACTAACTGGTTCAGGGAAGAAAATAATCCCCCTGCAAGCACCCAGGGGCAGTGTGTCGCCCAGGAAATCCCCCACCCACAGCTTGCTACATACTGGGGGGAGGTTATCAAAGAAGTACTGCTCACCATTGCTCTTGCACAGTTCCCTAAATTCTGGGGGGTTTGGGCTACCAGAGGCTGTGCAAGGTGAACCTTCAGTCTGCCACAGGACAGTCATGCCCGTGCTATGTAAATTCGTCACAGATCTCTCTGCTTGGCCCAGTCCCAGAGCTGGAGTCTGGTAGTTATGGGATGCCCAAGTTGTCATGGCTTGAAAAACAGAGTAAGAAAAGCTCCTAGGTAAAGAATATAGATTCTGCCCATTAAGAGAACACTGACCAAAACAGCATGTAAAATATACGGGGCACTCTGTGTCTGTTTGAGCATTTGTGTGGATTCTTTTACAATTGCACAAGTTTTAACCCTGTTCCTGATGAAAAGGCTCATGTAAGCAGTGCTGTGACTTGGTTGCATACTTCCTTACTCCAGAGATGTTAACTAATTCCCGGTGGTAAGCAAGGTTTGGGACCACTTGCATAACCCCAACTGCACTGAATTAAGAGTCCTCCAGAGAGCCCCGTACCTTTTGCCCCACTGCAGGAAGGATGGCACCTTGCCACAGCAGCTCTCAGGCCTACGGTGAGCTCAAAACAGGACAAAGTCCAAAACTAACATGCAGCACGTGCTGAGAGGATTTAGTGAGAGGGATTATCCACTACAAATTGCTGTATGGGCCACAGATGGTCAGTGAGATAGCTCAGTCCCAAGAGTCATTACCCTGGAAAGCAAAATGGTAGAGTGAAACAGCTGTTAGCATGAGCAGGAACAGGAGGGAACACAAAGGGAGTATGTGGGCTCCTTATCCTGACGTAAAAGTGGGGATGAGTCTTACAATATTCAATGCACTTTTCTTCTTTAAAGCCCCACACGCTGGAGTGTCATGGTTGCAAGAATCTCAAGCTTTGGTTTAAGAGTTATGTTCGGAAAAGTCATAAACCCAGAATGTAAAAGACAGATCCAAAAAGAATCTGAAATTTTCTGGTTTTCTACTGCTGCGATTTAGAAAGGAAGCAGCTAACAGGTGATTTTTTTAAGTGTAGATACACACAGTGACAGCAAGAGTTACTTTAAAAGCTACCTAAGAGCCTTCAGCTGAAGAACAAACTTCTGGAGCAGTGACAACTCACAGCTGCTTTCACACTTGCAGCATCTACAAAGACTTTACAGCCTCTCTAAATCCACTTGTAATTAATGTCCTGTATTTAAAATATTGTATTTTTAGAGAATCTTCTCAAAACACGCAACAAATCACTTTGAGCAAGCAACAATTGCTTAAAAAAATCCCACGCTACTACTGCACACAGATCTCAGAAACTCTGGATTTTTGCAGATCCAGAAACAAGGCACACCTGCAGAAAACCATGTCCTTTACTGCATTTCAGTGTTTGGGACCAATTAAGAGTAAGCTTGCTAAGCAGTCCTCAGAACACTCCAGGAGCTGGATATCAGCTTATGCGCCCAGCTCAACCAAAAACAGGGCACAGAGGGACGTGTGTGTCTCCCAGGCTCCAAGCATTTGTTGCTAAAGGACACGCTACGCAGCTGAACATTGCATAGTAACTTCTGAGCAAGTTCACACAGTGAATGAGATTCCCTTCCTCAGGAAGCTGGACACAGTTAAATAAACAACGCGGGGGTCTAGAGCAGAAGGCACTTGTTAGAGCAGTGAACTCTGAACAGGAAGAATACTTGTTGCGTTACACTTCTTCAGCGCAGTAACAGGCCAGAACTGCATCTACCCCCGTAATTTTAATTAAATGCCTTCTCCATGTTCTTATCAAGCCATCTCCAGCAGCAGGTTAACATGCATCACTTCCTTCAGAAAGCTTCAGAAGTGAAGCAAGGCTACAGCACTATGGAGGGCTTGGGCTGGTTTGCTGCCTGTCTCACCAGATGATGGGGCTGAAGCCAAGGAGAGGAGAGGAGGCCGTGGTGACAAGCAAAAATGCAGCTGTGCCCCACAGCACCTGCCTTACAGCCGAGTCAGCTGGCCGAGCCTCCTCTGTTGTGCCCACTGACCTGGATGCATCATTTTCCGTCTGCCCAGTGGAAGGGAACGGCCTGACTGCCTCCAGGAAAGAGCTGCTGAGCCCTGCCAGCTTCAGCCGAGCTCAGCCTGTGCCCCGTGTGCAGAGAGCCTCTGATGTGGCCAGACATTGATGGGCTGCCAGCATCACCGGGCCCCCAAATATTTGTGCGCTCACATCAGCAGGGCTCTCGGCTTCAGTGAACAGGCCACAGATTGGGAGGCAATTACTGGCTTAACTCTGGCATTTCCTAACTTCTGAGCGCTTAATTTTGCACATCTAAAAAACAATAAACAAACAGCCCATATTTTAATGATTATTTTTATTAAACCCTTGGCCTTCAAACAACTCTGTTGTTTACCAAGTCGAGGATGTGGTAATCTCCTCCCCACAGCTGTAGGTTATGATAACTTGAACTATCCAGCTTTCAAGCGCAGGTCACAAGACATACAATTTCCTCCTGTGGAGCAACGGACTTAGCATAATGCCCTGTGCCCCTTTAGTTTTCCTCTCCCTGGGACTGGAAAGCCAGACATCCATCACACCACACCTGACGGCCCCAGAGCACGCCTCAGCTTCTCCCAGCCCCAGGAAGCAGGACTCAGAAGTTCAAAGGGACACAGCAAGACAGCTCCCCGTCACGCAGCCGGGATGCGGAGCACAGTGCGACGTGTCCTCCTGCACCGACATTAATTCTTCCACGTGCACAGCCTGATGTGACAGTGCTCTTCTGACAGCACTGTAAGAGCTCGCTGCTCTCCAGAAATGACCTGGTTTACCCCAAGCTGGAGCGAAAGAGGAACACACCCAACACAGCCAGTGAACACGCTGGTGCCAGGGAGGTAAGCACTTCTTACAGTGCACAAACTCAGCTGGGAAGTTTTAATGCAGTACCTCTGGAGACTCAGATTTAAAAAGTTAACCTTCTTTTCGCATCACTGCCAACCACCAGTGCAAAAACATCAGGGATATCCACGACAAAACTGTTGATTAATCACTATGATTTAAAAAATCCTGCGGGTCTTCAGCGTGTCAGAGAATGTTCCATCTAGTGGGACACTAGAAACAACAACAGCAAGGAAAGGCTGAGAGAGTCAAGTATGTCAGCAGGATGATGGAGTTATAATTAAGGGGGGAGCGGGCACCACAGGTCCGAGCTTTCTCTATTCCAGCCTTGTGTGTGTTCCTGTTAAATGCTGCAGGACATCTGATGTACCTATCCTCCACCCTAATTAGGCAACATGAATGTGAGAATCAGGCAGTCCTCCGACCCTCAAAGAATGCAGTTTTGCACCTCATCGAGAAAGCAGAGCTGCAGAGGAATATACTGGACCAGGGATCCCAGACTTCCAGGACTGCCTGTAGATGGAAAGAGCGAGGGATGAAAGCGTGGCAGAGGCTGGTGCCTCAAAATGGAAAGCGATGGGGTTAGAGCGCTGGGCAAGACTACAGTCAGCAATCTGGGCTGTCATGAGAACAGTGGAACAGGAGTGCCCGCGGTCTAAGGGCAGTTTTTCAGAGTGAAGATCAGGAAGGTGCCACTACTGTCTTAACGCACAGAGGATGCAGCAGAGCTGAACAAGCACGCCTTGAAGTGACACAGAGCAAGAAA